GGCAGGTCTGAAGTGAAACTTAATTCGCATCGAACAGGACACGCGAGGAAGAGGGACCCGAAGAATTTGGAATAGAAGCGAGACTATAAAAATTGAAATAGGAGATTTCGCGGGAAAAGTGGCAAAAATCTTCATTTCTTCTTCTTGCGAGTCTAAAGTGGAGTTTAATTCGTATCGAGCAGTCCTCGAGGAGAGGATACAGGTAAAGAGAGACGTGCATGGGTTACTTAGTTTTTTTTTTTAATTTTTCTATTTATATATAAATTTTAACTCGGGAAGCGAAATCTTCATTTTCTTATCCTGCGAGTCCTAAAGTGGAGTTTAATTAGTATCGAGCAGTCCTCGAGGAAAGGATACAGGGAACGAAAGACATGCATATTTTGCTCGGTTTTGAAAAAGTTGAAAAAGGGTAGAAATTTTGACTGGAGAAGAGAGGCGGCCAACGGTCGAACTGGTGGCCCTTCCTTTCGGCTAGAATTTAAGAGCGCGCCGCCCCTCGTCACGGAACGAGGAAGAGCGAGCGATGCATCTCCAGCAAGGCCGCGCGAGAAGGGAAGGAAAAGTGCAGGCTTGGAGCGGAAAAATCGATAGACGGGACACGCGAGAGAGAGAGAGAAAGAAAGAGAAAGGAAGGGAGAGGAGAGCCCCGCGGAAAATGCGCCGGCTCGTTTTTTTTCGGGGCCGGCACGTTTTCCTGGCTCCCCTCGGCCGAAATTCATCTCCCCACGGAGAGAGGGGAGTTTATTTTTTCCTCCCCCCTTAAAGAGCAGGGGGGGGGCGAAAAAAAAATAAAAACGGAGATCGGTATCAGGGATACGGTTCGTCACCCTGGAAGGCAACCGACGGCACGAATTTCCCGTTTCCCAGACCACCCCCCACCCTGCCATTCCTCTCGGGGAAAAATCGATTTCGTCGAGATTTCCTGCCCCTCCGATCCCTGTAAACCCTTTTAAAAATCGGATATCCCCAGTATATTAATCGTAAGCACCACCCTTCAAACTATCTTACCCTAGTCCTACTTCGCCCTACACATTCTAATTTACTTACACTTAACAGGAATTAAGGGAAAGCGGAATCCGAGGAGTCGATCGTCCACGGAGGTTGAAAGGTATTTTATAACGAAAATAAAAAAAAAAGAAAAATTGTTCCCCCGAGGATGTGGGGGAGAACGTGCACAGAGAAGACGCGGCGGCAGGAAAGGACTCGTTAAATCGCCGCGTGCAATTAACACGGTTATCGGTCTCGTCTTGGGACAATTGTTAATGGCGGTCGTTATCGGCTGATGCCCGCCGAAGCACCGCCGCGGATAACGCGGGATGATTCGCGCCCGCCACGTCCGATGGCCGGGATCCAAAAGGCAACCGATTGCTCAACGGAAAGGGAGACGAGCGGATATAATGAAAGGGCAACCGATTTCGCCGGCAGCCACCGAAATTCGCGAAAAAATATCGAGCTCGGGGCCTTCTAATCAGCCCCCAAAACTGTGCCAAACGTCTGGGTCCATTGTCAAGGCTGCCACTCGTCATCCGCTCCAAGGTTCGAGTATGCTCTCTATTGCTCCGGCACTTTCTTTCTCGCTCCCTCCCCCTGAGTCCTCCTCTCTTCCCGAATTTCATTATCAAGGTTAGGCTCGTCGGCGTGGTGGGCGCGTAAATATCGCGACTCGTCGTTATCGTGGTCGGTACACCCGAAGGCCGAGCAGCGACACCGACGAGCAGGCGATAAAGGAAAAAGCGTGAGGCCGGAGAGGCTATGCCACTAGCCGAGGACGAGTCGGTGTCATATCCATGGATTTAAAAAGAACCACCGGTCGTCTAAAACGAGATTTTCGCCGAGGGGACGGCAAACCACGAGGCGCAACGGGAGAGGACCGCGGCGGCCATCTTGGATTGCGACTCTCGCGCGCCGTTTTTGAGCCTCGAGGCAGCGCGTTTATACATTAAAAGATACAAAAGCTCTGAAAGACTCGACTATTGTCACCGGTATTATCGAAGGCTTCGAAATATTATCGATATTCACGAGAATATAACCAGAGTTACCGTCAACTTCCACATTTTCGACGTCCGTTGGGGTCAAGAGAGAACGCTAGGAATCAAATATGGCCGCCGGTCGTTCCTTCCGTGGAAACTTTTCTTCGTAAAACCCTTCCTCCGAGATCCACGGTCAAATCGAACGGACGCGCCCGTTTCGTCGAGAAAATCCTAGGGTTAAGGAAAAATCGTCCGCCGTTTCGCGGTAATCCCGGATTACCTTAAATTTCAGTTAACCGCGGCGATATATAAGAGGCTTAAGAAGAAAACTCCGCGAAGGCGGAGTGCCCGGTCTCATGGCGTGGACACGCGTCGGCCATGGACTAGAGAGTCGTGGGAGAGTGCAGAGGTGCGCTCGCAGGGGGGCGAAAGAGAGAGAAAGAAAGAGAGAGAGGTGTATAGAGGGCGCACGTGCCTGGCAGAAAGTGCGCCAACGTGATCGGAGTTCCAGGCGAGTTCCAGGCGAGTTTCAGCCGAGACTTCGCCTCTCTCGGTCTGCGAACTCGAGGAAGAAAATCCTCGAGAGGCGGCCATCTTGAATTTTCAAAACAGCCCCCTCTGCACACCCGATGGGTGGCGAACCTCTCCCGGTACACATCCTTCTAGTGATCAAAGTTCAAGGCGAACGTCCGGTGAATTTCGCGAGGAAAAAAAAAAAAGACGAAAAAAAGAAATTCCTCAGGGACGCCATCTTGGATTTTCGGAAACTGCCCTATCTATCCGTAACATGGGTGCCTCGAAACTCTCCCGGTATATCTCTCTTGGACTAGACACTGCTCGAAACGCCGTCTTTATCACGGCGATACGGGATCGTGCATCGTCGATTGGCCGATAACCGCGGCCGTGATTATCACGAGGACTGCATACGAGCCGATAACCCCAACCGGGATGCCTCGCGAGAGTAACCGACTTCTAAAAGGCTCCTCGAGATGCACCCACGAGGGATCCGGGGATCCAGGAAGAGACCGTTCAAGGTGGCGGTCGCGAAGCCACATCCTCGCCGTCCACCATTCCGACTTTCCACGGGAAAAAAAGTAATTGGGTCGCCAGATAACGAGAGTGTCGAAACCTTGAGGCCGTAATTACGGCCCGGGGAAGCGGAGAGAAAAAAAAAATAAAGACAAGGGGTTAAGACTCGACGATCCCGATCAGCGCGATTAAATGCAATTTTCAAGTCCGCAAATTGAAGACATGGATATGGTAACCTATCTCCCTCATAAGCGGTCTAAACTAAGCCCTCGATTGTCTAAAAACGTTCTCTCCCCTCTACATAACCTCAAAGTCCCATTAAAGTGCCAAGCACATTCCCCAAATAATTAGAAATTCCCCCAGCTTTATACCCGCCCAAGCCGCGACACCCGAAATCCCCATTTAAAAAAAAAAAACAAAAAAAAACCAAAAACCGTGTACAAAAACAATTTGAACACGGAGACCCTAAGGTAGGTCCTGAAACCCGCGAAATTTCATTTTTTACAAACTACTTTGAATATACCCATAAACAAATTTGAAAAGAATTGAAAATTTCACGACTTTCAGGACCTTCCTTATAGTCTCCCAATTCCCGTTGTAAAGTTTCAAACTATTCGGTAAACCGAGTTGGGAGAAAAGTTTTATAAACAAAACCTCTTCGACGCCACATTCACATCACCTTAAGGCCCCAATAAGAATGTCCAAGGATCGGGATTAATAACGTACAAGCCGTGCGTCGATAAACTTCACCGTACAAACTGTGTACCAATAAACGTCGCCGATATCGCGGCATCGATCTCTACACGTCCACGGGTGGTCAACAATCGAGCTGGTCCCGTTTCGTCGTTGCAGTCGTTGCAGCCGGTTGCAGTCGTTGCCAAACCGCGGATTCAGCGATTCCGTCGCCAAGGAACGCTTACTCGTGGCCGGGGCCAGAGTCGACCTCGGCTTCTCCTCGTGTTTTCTTCGTTCCAGGTCGCGATACCACCGAATGAATGATCCCCCGATCGACGTCTACCTGGCCGGTCGTACGCGCGTCCTCCGTACCCTGGTAAGAAGCGACGCCGAACGCGCGGCGAGCAAGGTACGCCTTCCTCCTGGTCGTAAACAAGGACCCCTGCCCCGCGCGTCGACCCAGCCGGTCGCCTCACCATCAATGAAGTAATAATCATAATTAAATACTCCATGTATGTGCGCAACATTTCGAGCCGGCCGGAAGGGGACATAGAGTAAGGGCCCCGGGATGCAACGCAAATGCGCGTAGGGTAGGGTAGGGTAAGGAAGGGAAGGGAAGGGGAGGGGAGGGAGGGAAGGGAAGGGAAGGTACGCTGCGTACCTTCCCCCTCCCTTCCGGCCCCCGGGGGTAAACAAGGACCCCCTATCTCGTCCCAGCATCACCTGCCGCTCGCTCCATCCCGCTTCCGATGGACGAATCGACGCCGGGCACGAAAACCCCTTCCCAGAAGCCGAAACCCACGAAAATAAAAAAGCCTAGACAAACATCGAGGGTAGGGAAGTCCAAACCACCCTCGCAAAAATATTCGGACCAAGTTTCCGGTAATAAAACCGTAGAATATCATTTCCACCCGGACGTTCCCTTAAGAGAAACTCAAGGGTTGGTAAATCTAATCCGTTATCTTAAGTCTAGATCACGTGGACCTTGAAGTGCTTCATATTTAACTTAAAAATATTTCGGAGGTCCTAGGGGACCGAAGTTCCCTAGATGGATGCATGTTTCCCGGGGTGAATTAAATGGAGGGAACTCTCGAGCGCGGGGGTTATTTTCCACGTCCACCCCACGTTTCCTCCGCCGCGGGTTCCAGTCCGACGAGGACGCCCTCGCGGGCCGAGGAATGCGTCCGGGCGGCGTGGTAAACATCTCGGGGGTAAACAAGGGCCCACCTTCCCGCGCGCTCCCCTCGGGGCGTCTCTCTTTCTCTCTCTCGCCCCTGGCGGCGCCATTGAGTCCGTCCTCGTTTTCGGCGCGACTTGGGTACTCACATAACGATCGTCGCTCGGTGATATATCCAGTCCCGTGGCGCCTGCGGGGGGGCGCGGGTCCTGGGTCCTCGCCTAGGCGTGCGGGCGACCGTAGGAGGGCACACTGCACACTCTCTTGTACACACACGTGCGCGACACTGGGCTACCTCGGGCCCTCCTCTCGTCCTCGTCCGGGTGACGGCGCGCCGACCGGGGCGAGTCCTCTGGGGGTCGCCGAAGGGACTCGCGCGCGCGCGACGCGGCCTTCGCGGGGCGACACACCTTCTGGCTCGAGCCGAGGGCGGCCCGGGCCTTGCGAAGCACACGGACGTCCAGAGAGACACCAGACACTGCGACGAGCCAGCCTCCGCTTCTTACCGCTGAGAGTGCAGGCGCGCGACTGACGCGCTCCGCGGCGGGCGCCCGGCTCGGGCCGCTGGTTCGGACGGGCCCCGCCGCGCGCCGCCACCGGCGCCGCGCCCAAGGCGGCCCCGAGCCCGTCCGGAGACGCCCGAACTAAGCCGAGCGCGGAGAGAGCCGCGCGGCGTGCCCTTTCCTTTCCCATTTCTCCTTCCCAAGGAGTTTCGGACACGAAAACGACGCGTCGCTCCTGATTTCGACTCCAAGAACTCGCAACAATTACAAATCATCCGCAGAAAAGCAAAAAACACGTAATATCCTATAATTATCTCTACACTTAACCTATTTAATTAAGCCATGACCCTGCATTTAATTTTTACCCCTTGTTAAAACCATCGAGGATAAATCGTATATCCATGAAACCGAAAATCCTGGCCTACCTAAAAGAAGTATAAGAGAAATCCCAGTTCCCTCGGGATTGCCCTCTAGAACTTGATATAAAAATAGGAAAATCAGTCGATGAAAATGGCGTCCCCTTTCGCACGTTCTAGAAATAAACGTAGGGACCCAAGATCCGTCCTCGTGATCGAGATTTACCCGGACCAACGCATCCGCGCGTTATATCACGCGCAACGTAATTCTCAGCATAATAATAAGCCCCCTAAGTATAATCGCGGCGAGTCAAAGTTCGCATCGACCCAGAGATCCCGGAATACCGGCGTGGGGTTCGTTGGGAGTTAAAAGCGTGTCCGTCGAGCCGAGGCGGCGTCGGGTCGGGTTGCACGTCGTCTCCGCGGTGCAGGGTTTCCCGGGGGAGGTGCGCGCGGGGGTAGCGATCGATCCCCGGGACGTGGGGCGAGGGTGGACTCGCGGAATTCGCCCGGTGTCGGCGCGTTGACCCAGATTCGCGGGTTAGCCGCGAGCGGAGACCCCGCGCCTCGTCCTCTCGCCGGGACTCGTCTCCTCTCCCTCTCGCGGGATTCCCAGGAATCGGCGGATTTCCTCGGACCCCTCGGGGCGGTCGGTAAGGCCGGTCGCCGGGTTATCGGGACCTGGTTGGGATGGCGGAAAAGTCTCCGAGGCGAGAGGGGTAGGCGACCTGGTCGCATTCTACCGGTGCGATCTGTGGTAGGAGGCATGTAGGACGAGCGGATGGAGAACACCGGCCCCGGGAGGAAGGCAGAGGCAGGGGGGGAGCGGCTCTTGGCCGGCAAAAAACAAAAGTGCATCTCGCCAAGATGGCCGCCGCCTCACCGACTCTCAAGGTTACCGCCGCCCCTCCCGACTCCGGCGTATATACCGCGGGGTACAGTCAGGCGCAGCCATCGGCGGTGGAATGCAAGCCGGTGCACCCACGTGCGGCTGCATCCACGGGAATGCGAGAGCCTCCTCGCGGATTTCCCAGGGTGCACCTAGGCGTTCCCCGTACTCCACCTGCGCATGAATGAGGACGCCGAGACGCCGACCGCGGTCCACTGGGAGCGGTTCCTTTGTTTCGGATGGGAACACCGTGGAAAATATGCATGGCTAGGCTGGGTACACCCTGGACCATTCGGAAGGGAACTCGGAAGACGGCCAATTGTGGTGAGGCTCGATGGTAAGGTAGTGAGGTAAAAAAAAGAAAAAAAAAGTATCCTTGTCAGAAGTGGGATTCGAACCCACGCCCACAGAAGTGGACTGCGACCTGAACGCAGCGCCTTAGACCGCTCGGCCATCCTGACTCGTGCCTGACCACGCGGCTCTACTCCTACCGGCCGAAAAGCCCGGGAGGAGTTAGGCCGATTCGCGACGGCGAATTCCTTGCCGGTGCGAGAGGGCTAAATAAAGCCGCGAGCAAGGCCGAAATAGCTGGCCAAGAAGCGAGCCGAGCCTACTCTCTCTCGAGAGAGAGGCGCCTACTCGAGAGAGGGCCGCCGCTTTTCGATACCGCCAGGCCCGATCGCACCCCCTCAGGGGGCTCCGCACGCTGCGCTCCGAAGGTCGCGCGATCCGCCGTTCAACGTTTTCATTCCTCAAATAGAATTCTATTTCGCGAGTCCGGAGGGGTTCCCATCTGGGTGGGGATAATAATACCATACGGACCGATAGTGGGCCGATTAAACCGCCGAATATATGTACGGGGGTTAATTAGGTTTCCGCGAGTCTCCCGCAAACGTGGGAAGGGAAACCCTCGGCTTACGCGGCCGAGTCGCGCGGTGCAGCGGATTGCAGCTTCCGGTGCAGCGGCGTCGCATTGAGCGTCGCTGCGTCTCAAGGCCGGACCGTCCGAGAGCTAAGGACGCGGATCCCCCTCCACGGCGGGTTCCCTCTCTCTCTCGCTCTCCCTCTCCGCCGGCACCGGCCCTCATCGCCTCTCCCTCTCCCTGCATGCACTCTCCAAACTGGACGGAGGTGCTCCCTCCCGCGGAAAACGGGCTCTCGGCTTCCGAATCCACGGAGAGCACGCTCTATTTCTGCGCAGAGGGAGAGAGAGAGAGAGAGAGAGCAGGCCGCGGCTTCGTTAGGGAGCGGGGAAAAAATGAGGGGAGGGGGCTGAAAAAGGCATGCATTTATTGACTCCCGCCAATCGGCGGGGATTTCATGGGTTCCTGAGATCTGGATGTTAAGATTTTCAGAAAGGGCGGACCATGACGACCGCATATACGATTAGCCGGGGAAGAGGATGTATGAAATTCTTTTTTGCCGATTCTCCGCAGCCAGGGTTGCAATTACGGCGTCGAGGAATTATGTCGCGCCGTTTGACGGGGTCCTTGAGGATTTTCAGATCTTCGGAGAGGACAGATTGCCAGGACCGCATCCATGGTAGCTGGGGACGGGGATGTAGCGAAATTCCTTCTGGCCATCTTCTGCGGCCAGGGTCGCAATTATGGTGCCGAGTGCAGGAGGGACGCGCGACAGGCGCCCACCCATAGAAATTCGGCACAGTTTGGGGGTGCGCCATAATTAATCCGACCTTCGAGGGCGCTCCGGGAGGAACAGGTGGAGGGCCGGAACGGGTCAAGGTGGCAGGTTGCTCGTGACCAAGGTCAGCTAATGGGCCCACTTTTGCCTTTTGCCCAACTAGCCCACTTAGTATCCCGTCTCGTGAGACATCTGCCGGCCGTTGGGCCGCCGCCATCCTTGTCGAGCCTTCGATCCAGGAAGTGCGCCCTGGAGATCGAGCTCGAGGGAGGAGGTTGGCGAGCTGCACTCGCGCGTAAATACTCGCAGCTTGAGCCCACCGGTTCCCTCCCTCCCAGGGGTGGGCGCGATCGATTCGCCAGGAGGCAAGACCCGAAAATTCCCCAGACGCTCGTAAACCACGAATATCTCGGCCCGACTCGTCCTGGAGAGCCGCCATGGCGCTCCCCACTTGCCAAAGGACGGTTTAATCGAACGCCCACGCCGGGTGCGAGTGTTCCAAGTTTCTGGCAGAATCCGCAGAATCCGATTAATACCCTTCCCATAGAAATGCGAAGATAAATCGAGCCCTTACTAGTCAAAGGAGACCCTCGAAATCAAGATACCAGGTTACCCCACAAATTCGCCCAGTTCTCCCTGTTTTTCAATTCTAAACATTCACGGTTTTGATAATTGAAATTTCTTCGACGTTATATACTTCACTTCGACGGATGCTAATTTCAACTTTCAATTTGATCCTTTTCTTTTTTCTTATCCCCCGCTTGAAGGAACGATAATATGACAATTAATACCCTTCCCATAGAAATGCGAAGATAAATCGAGCCCTTACTAGTCAAAGGAGACCCTCGAAATCAAGATACCAGGTTACCCCAGAAATTCGCCCAGTTCTCCCTGTTTTTCAATTCTAAACATTCACGGTTTTGATAATTGAAATTTCTTCGACATTCTTCACTTCGAAGGATGCTATCCATACTTCACTTCGAAGGATGCTAATTTCAACTTTCAATTTGATCCTTTTCTTTTTTCTTATCCCCCGCTTGAAGGAACAATAATATGACAAAGTCTCGAGTATATAAACGGCGGGAATTTCTGGGCCAGCTCGTTAGCTGGCAATATTGTCCAGAATTTCCCGCGTCCCCGTCGACGGCGGAAATCGACGAGAAGAACCGTCGGGCCGGACAATTGTCATGAATTCCGGGGAACGCGAGGAGGCGTCGCTCGGGGTCGTTCAATTTGTTAAATGCACCGAGCGCCGGCCATAACGAAATAACGGAGGCGAGTAGTAATGGCTCGGTCATGGCTCGGCAGTAAATTTACACGTGGAGACCCTCGGAACATCATCATCCCCGCTTTTCCAGGATTCCTTCAGACAGTCCCTGGAGCGGCTCCGAAAGGGAATCGAGCCATTTCTGAGAACTCTTGAAACCTCCAAGAAGATTGAGAAAAAGAACCGAGCAAGGCTCCGCCATTTTGGGACCGCTGCTGGACACCAGAGGAGGATGCTGCGGAATAACCTGGCGAGAAGCTCAGGTTGAGCACCGATAAGTCAGCTGAGTAGAGCCATCTCGTGATCGCGTGTCTGTGGCTTCACACGAGGCTTTTAACGATCCTCTTAAATGCACACGATCGCTTTAAATGCACGGTCCGCGATCGTCGTTGAGAGTCAGCGGAGGCTGCCTCGAGATGGCCGGACAGAGAGAGAGAGAGAGAAAGAGAGAGCAACAGCTTGTCTCGAAATGCAGCAGAGCCCTTTCCTCTCGTTTCGGTCCTGCCAGACGCTGGTTCTCAGGACTTCAATTGTAGGTTCCTCGACCTACGTCAGCACCGTCCAAGGGTGTGGAGTGGCCGAAACGAGCGACCTCCGCGGGCTCGCAGAAAAGAGACAAGTAGATCGCGATACGATCAGTGGAAACTGTCTCGAGTGATCAGACAGTGGCATCTCCCGAACGGGAGGGTCGAAGGGATCATGGAGCGAAGGGACGATGGGATCTTTTTCATTTTCTGCACGCGGAGGAGCAGGAGAATGCACCATTCGGTGGTTCGCGCCAAAGTGGAGCGCAGTTTCTCAGGAGCGAATCGCATACGTAGTCGAGAGGGTCAGGAGTGCTCCATCCTCGTATGGAGTGCACCGAAG